TTTAAGTTTTAAACTTCAAACCATTTCTTCCAGCTAAAATATGAGTGCTATCCATAATATTGCAGAAAAGTCATCTTGTCTGAAGTATGCACAGATCAAGCACCATTTACAAGCTTACATGTGGATCATTTTTATGTTTTAACCAGCTGTTTGGACTCTCATTCTGACGGCACCCATTCACTGCAGAGCAAATTCATCTTGGATGGCCTGAGGGTGAATTTTATTTTGAGTGAACTATTCCTTCAAGCAAACCAGTTAAAAAAAAATCACCATGACAAGGAAATAACATTAAAAAAACTTTATTAAACCATTATTTGTTGAATATAGATTCCATATGCTGTCATTTTAAGTGGGTTTCTATAATACATGTACACATTCTCCAGGTATACATTTCACATGTAGTTCATATTCTTGAGTTTCCAGTGTTATGTTTTCAGGAAGAAAGGGTGTATGAATCCAAGCAAATGACATTTTTCTTCAAGAAGAAACTGAATGAAAATATAGAGCTACAATTCACTTACTTTGTTTGAAAATAAACTGAAATCAGAAGTAACTTTGTTCCTTAGGCCTTAGACCTGGTGTCTCCCAGATAAAAAACATTGAAAAACATAATAATTCATGATAAGGACAATGCACATTATTGTGTTTACATGACAAGTAAATCAAGAAAATACAAAATTATGAATCTAGACATAACATTTACATTTGGTACACATAGTATTTGATTAAAGGAAAATACATATTAAAGCCTTAACTAAACAAGCTCAGGCTTGACTTTGGCTCATTTTATGAGAATTCACCATTGAAGATGAGCAAATGTTTTCTTTGACACAGCTACGGCGTATACCTCCCAACACAATATGAAAAGATTCACTCGATGTCTAACATTCAAAAGCATTCACATACATACATATAAGAAAAGATTTGATTTTTGGCAGCTCACTTATTAATCCTTAACACAATTCTATTGCTACTCCAAATGAGTTCAGATGTGGGTATGCTATGACATGAAAATATGAACATAGCTAACTACTTTGAAACATAATAGCTCGACCAATTAAATGAGAATACTCCTTTGTTTAGAACACTGTTTTTGAAATTTCTCTATTTAAAATTTACATTTGTTAAAACAGCATAGAAAAAGAATTTATTGAAATAATTCTTTCCAAAAAATACAAGCTTTCTGAAGCTTTAAACACATGCTAAATTTTCAGACGTGCAAAATCTAAATCTATTTTTAAAATAAAGACAAGCCATTTCAGTTTGATTAATGTAAAACATTGCAGCACATGGAAGGCCTCCCCTGTACATATGGAAAGTTAAAGGTTAACGTAACTTTAGAGAAGACTGCATTTAACTGCTCTTTTTTTGATTTTGCACAGATGTATACAGTGAGAACAATCAATACTTTTCAATATTACTGCATTTAAAATGTATAAATTGAGATATACCACAGATTACAATATTTTCTAAACTGATAATAATGATGCTTTAACAAATGTATGAATAAAAATTAACATGCTAAATTTCAACTGCAACATTGAAAATATTACTATTATAAATGCCTCATAATTATGAATAAATCTCTACTGGTGACTCCTTTTTGATCTTGAGAAACTATTTTTAAAAATAGTTATGATTGAAAAATATCTACATTTTTAGAACAAGATTAAGAAAGAAATAAAAAAGGGTGAATCCATACACAAATGAAAAAAACATGCTCAGTCATGTTGGAAACCTCTAAATTCCACAGTTTTGCTTCAGGGAACATTATTATTAAGTATTAGACTTGTTTGTATTTAAGAATGTACAATTTAAGTGTTAAATGTATATTGCACATGTATAATTGATGGAATTTAGTGGCAAGGTAAGGCAAAAATAACAAGTGAAAATATATGGAAAAATATATGGTGCTAACCCTAACACATGCACTGCCAGAATACACAAATGCACATAATAACACAATCAAAAATATAAAAGCTTTATTCTTGTATGACTTTGATTTAAATAGTGCTATTCTTTCAGATACTAAAATTTCATCCAAAGGTAAACTGTCGTACAGTGTCGCCTACTAGTGGTGACGTCATGCACAAGCATTTGTACTGGATGAAAAGTATTGCTGAGACAGACAGTGATGCAATTTTGTGGTATTATTACTGAAGTATTTTCTGTTCATCATTAATCATAAAATTTTTAGTAAACATTTGACTATTTAGACCGCCTCTAAGCAGCATTAAAAAGTAAACATATATTTGTTGCGTTGATGTGGCATCAGAGTAAAATCGCTTCAAATATGAAAATTTAACTATGATATAATTTGAATTGGCTCATAAGGGGGGTCTGACATGGCTGCCGGTAGCAGTACATAATATAAACATGTACCAGAAATCAAGCACCAGCACATGCTAAAAGAACCGAGAAATCTTTTTTCTATTGGTAAGGCATTCAAACCCTGCATATTTAGGCTATATATTGGAAATCTTTTAATCAGACTGGGTGTAAACTGCACATTACAGGTGCCCGGCTGCATAAAGTATTATGGCACATCAACATGTTATCAAACCAAGATATACATGTAAACTTAAGAGTAATGGTTAACTAAAGATTATGTTAGGAATATACTGCATGGCAAAATAGTGGCTATTTCCATTCCACTCAGCGGTAACCAGCATAAGAACATGCTATAAAAATGAAGACCTTTTTGTTCTATCATTTCCATACACACAGATCTACATACAAATACAGAATGATTGCTCAAATTATATTGCAGATATAATAATAAAACTGTTTTTCCAGAACGTATAGTTGAATCGGTTTTTGCAAGGTGACATTTTCAGAGATTAAAAAAAGACTGTATGAGGCTTCACTCACCAATGCCTGATGAAATGGTGCTCAGTCGAACATTCACCTAAAGGCAACAATCCTCAC